CAATTTTATGCCGAAAGTACAATGTATTGCCAAGAATTGAACTCCAAATAGTAAATTGTCAAATAAGGAAAGATTAGATTATTTTTATCATCTTTAAAATGTGACGATTTTCAATGAAAATTAAATGAGAAGAGCCTGCTTAGTTAAAAATGTCGTTAAAAATATAACATTTTAGGATAAGCTCCTCTCAAAAATTAATTAGGCTGGTTCAGCGATTGGTTAGAAAGGTATTCCACCAGGATTTTTAAGTTATCTGTCCTTATAAATTCTACAATAATTGATCTTGCATTGTATACAATAGCACATTTGTCCCCAGCCAACAGAGATTTCCTAACTCCTTCGCGAAAGAGTTCCGCTAAGTTAAGTAATCGCGATATCAAGTATTATGTAAACTTCTTTGTAGAAAACAGTGTATTCAACAGTTATTTATGCTTTAAAACAGCCTGGAAAAGCCTGTTTGCTTTCTTTTAAGATTCAGGGGCCCGTTTTACAAAAGAACTTATGACTAAGACCAAAAACTTAAAATGATTGTAAAATTTTGCAAAATTAATAATTCTCTGAGAAATTGTCTGTGTAAAAATATCTTACCACATTCCTTTTAAAAGGTGTAAAATAATTTTCTATATAATGTTAATTAAAAAGTTATATGAAGAATTAACTTTGGTCTTAAGTCGTAAGTCCTTTTGTAAAACGGGCCCCAGTGACTTTCTCAGAGAGTTTTGTTTTGCTCACTTCTGCCAAGAGGGAAAGGCAAATTTAGAAAAAAATTTAAATGCATAAAACTCTTGCAATATGCTAGTATTTTAAAATATGGGGATAAACCAATATGACATGTGAAAATTGGCCCCAATCAGGTAGTTCATTTAAAATTTGAGTTTCATAAAACATGAAGTAAGTAAATCGCTTTGAAAGCCGATTTTGAATTCATTTTTTTTTCATTTTACTGAACGCATCGGCTTCAAACAAGGAACTATAAAACATATCACTTATTTAAATCATGTGATGAAAAAAGTGTCACCATGGAGCCATATCTACAGGAAAGAAGTATTTAAACCTGAGATAGGCACACAAAGGTCCTCCAGCATCAAGTACCAGGCTCCAGATCATACTTCCTGCTAAGTCCAATGAACTCAGAGGGTTTTTTTTTATCTTCAATGTGCAGCTTTTTCATATTGTATTTTGTGTGCACCACAAAGGTTAAGGTCACTGGCCTTCTTATGTTATTTCTATTCAGTTATAAAAATCTTAATTCAATCATAAATTATAATCTACTCATCATAAATGGCATGAGTTTTAAGCTCTTTTAAAGGATGACAAAGATGGAAGTCTCTGTCATGCTTAAAGTGAATTTTTTTTTCAATAGCACTCTATATGAATAGTACCTAGTTGGTATTTGCTGTACAGTACAAAAGCAAAAGAGCATTTCACGATATTAATCACAATATTACAGCACACTGGTAATCTGTATTCTTAGATGTGCAAATTAAATATTGATGAGAGATAGCGGTCCAATATTACACCCACTTGGTATTATGTTCCACATCAGTATAATACCAGCTAATTAATCATAATCTACATCCAATATTCTAAAAAGAATCAGTATTACTGAACAATGCATCATATCTATTTTAAACAATCCTACCTCAAGTGAAAAAGTTCAAGAACATAAATGTTAAAAGAATTTAAGAAACTTAAATTGCTTTTGGCAGTATTTTGTCAATTGGCCAACCTGTTTAATGAAACAAATGGAAGGAATTCAAGCCAATCAAATATCTGACCACATATTTTTGTAAGGAATTACAAACCATTTTGGCTCAAGTGTAAAACATTTGAATTATCCTTTCTAGGTAATACTAAACCTACCACACAAGAACTAATGACTTTTATATCAGGTAATTTAATGATTATTAACAAAACCTACAATGTAAAGGCAGTCTGAATTGTTTTTTCTTATTAATAGCACACTAACTTAATCATTTCCACCCCTCTCCATTTTAAATACCCAATCTCTTTAAATTATTACAAATAACAAATTCTGCAAGGATTATGTACACATGAAAACCTTAGAAAATTTAAGATATATGACCTAAACAATTCTTCAGAGTCTTCAACTACCACTGTTGATGGTAAATATTATATTCATAAAATCTTTAAGCTGTGTGTTTTGGAAGACAAAAATCAAAGTTTCATTGTTTTCAACATGAATATAGTCATATAGAAGTCCCTTTTTAAATTACAAATTGACCTTTTCACCTTTCTAGCAATCTACCAATGATATGACTGTATGTGATGAAGTCACACCATGAGCATCAGGATGTTACACTAAGTGATAGGAAGCGGCCCATTATATCTCCACCCTAGCTGTGTCCTTGTACTCGCCTTATAACGCCCAAATCACAATCCAAACATTGTCTACCTCTTCCTCCTTTCGTAGAAAAACTTCATTCAGCCTAATAGATTAGATTATTAATTTATTATTTTAAACTTCTACCTACATAAACAGAAAAATAGGAATAGATTTTATGGACCACAATGCTCAAGTGAAACACACAGCTCTAAGACAAATGTATATATGCTAATGAAGGCACTTATTGTGGAGGAAATTTTCTGCTAGACCTTGTCGCAGTATTTTATCTTAACACTGGTCTCATAGACTATATATATACATCAAACAAACTTGAATCGTCAATGTTGACCATGGTCAACTCACAAAAACATAAAAATATGTCCCTCTTTGTATGTCTGTTCCCAACTACTGGGTACAATATATATGACACCATTTCTCTCTCAGACTACCTTGAAAAACTGACAAAGCTTCAAATCAATCAAACTCCTAGGGGAATAAAAATAAACTGCATATAAATAAAAACACGTTCTGACATAACTAAATTAATACTGTGTCTACTTACAAAACATACCAGTGTATATATCAGACAGTGGTATCCAGTTCTGTAGAAGTGAGAAGTAGAAGTGAGAAGTCGGGGTCAGCCTCGGTAGCTGGACAATCTAATCAGACACTGGTCTGTCCTGATTAACGACTCTCCAATCAATACTGTCAACTCTCAACCCGCTACCCAAACCCTCACACTGATTGCTGTTTTTAATCAACGCTTTCTAGAAACAAACATCAGGATTTCGGGGCAGGAATGCTAGTTGTGTCAGAATATACATGTATTGTTATTAACATGACTTGTCAATGTTCACACAAACTGCCCCCGTGTTATTATTCATGAGTTCAGGATTTAATAAGGTTCTGTAAGCAGTTCCTCCTTCTAACTAAGCTATAGGAACACCATTCAGGATAAATGAACTCAAGATCTTCTTATCTGTCAATGGCCAAGTACTCATTAAGAAAGCTCAGCACCAACGCTATAAAGGTGTTGTCTCTACTAAAACCATTTGGAATGACTATTTAATATTCATTCTTCATAAGCAATCACATATATATTTTTTCATATCTAAGGAGTTAGGACATGTGATGTGAAAGCATCTTAACCCCATAATTTCTTTTTTCCTTTGAGACCAATAGGACTACTTCTAATAAACAGTCCTCTCTTATGACTCTTAACAATAAGACCCACTGACATCCTGCTCTTAGATGTGTGTACATTAATAATCTTATACAAAGTTGAAGACCAAGAAGTGGTCACTGCACAGTTTGCCATTTGATACATAGACAGACTTGGATTAGAAAATTAGATGACAAGGAAACACCATCTTTAACTTCCCTATTTTAGTACACAAAGATATATTATCTACAACAGACTTTAAAAGAGACAACCACAAAAACAAAATCTGACACTAGCTGTGCCAAATGTACATCACTTCCTCAAAATAAAGATATTCACACTCAAGGTCCCCCCAAAATACATTTTGTAAACAATTACTAGGCATAACCTAGAGAAAAATTATTTCTTCTCAAGTACTTTATGTACATTTTCCTAAGTACATTCATACTTGGTGCAGCAGATGTTTAACTGCAGAACAAATTATCCTCATTATTTCTATATCTTTCGAATGCTTACTGCACAAAAAAGACAAAAGCTTGATGAAGACAGCCAGAGTAAAAAGAAGCACATGAAAGCCAAGTCCCCAGTAACTACTTCAGTTAATTTAACATTATGTCATTCCCCGCCAAATCCTCTGTGTGTATTGCCTGTCTCTGTTTCTGTTGATCAATTACGACTAATTGAATGTACAACATATGGAAATTGCTATTGTACTGAGCATTATTAGATTACCACACTGCCTCTGGCTCATAGCTCACGAGCAAGGACTCGGAAACAGTGAAAACATGTCCAAAATAAGCCCACTCTACTCCTACAAACATTTAAAATAAACAATACAATGATCAATTTATTCCTCCACTAAAACAGGATTATTTTAAACTCTGTAAAGGGAATACTAAAGGAAAAAAATACCACAGATACTGTTCTGAAAGTTTTTTGAAGAGGAATGACGCCAAACTAATAATAAACAATTTACAATAACCCAATAAAAGTAAAAAGGAAAATAAAGGGGAATAAAACAATTTTCAACTGTCATACAAAGTTGATGTTGCATCTGGTTTATATAAGTTTACCACCAACTGTAATAGAGAACAATGGGTTTTAGATGCTGAAGCTGATAAAAACAACTTCTGAAATCATTTTTCTGAATCCATTTCACGTCAGAAACGATTACATTCCATACATCAGAATTTTTTGACAGGAAATTCAAGTCTGTCAAAAGATTCTCAAGAAAGCTGCAAATATTGTGTGGATCCATTTGATCTCATATTGCTCAGTCACTTAAAATTAGATTTAATTTGAAGGGTTTCAATGACTTAAAGTTGACAAATAAATCCACTGTTTTCTTAGAAATGAATTAAAAATCTCCCATTAATAGCTACAATATCTTAGAAGAGTTTTTTGACCATGTGAGTGATGGTGCAGTCTATATAGTTATCTTTTTTTGTGACCTTGTAATTGATGGTGATGTTTATACAGTTATCTTTTTACCTGCTTCTTGGGAGGAACATGGAGCCCTCAATGAACACAGAGCCAGATAGCAGTATATACCAGCAGGTACTCAACTCCCCTTGGCTGAAAATATATAGAAGCATTTTTTTATTCCTGAAGAAAGACAACTCTTGTTCAACATTCATTAAGTTTCTGAAATGGTGAACACTCTATCAGTATTTGATTGTATTGGCAGTTTCACTGTTTTTTTCCAAACTACAAAACTGTGCAATGCCCTTTATTTTTCCCCTCTATAATAAAGATATGTAATTTAAAGAAAATAAAAGATTTGGAAAGTTTTGGGGGTTTTTTCAGGGGTGGGTGGGAGTGGAGTTTGATTACTGACCAGTACAGTATATCGTTGGCTTCGTGGTACTCGTACCGTACAGTACGACACAGTGCTCTGAGGGCCGGCTCTCGTAGTGAAGAAAGAGCCTCCATCCCGTGAAGGTAGGAATACACTAGGTCCAAGTCCTAAAACAGAGCACAGAATAACTACTTATAAATGTCCATTAGCATACAATTTTGGTAAAATAAATTATCTACAAATAATTTAAAAAGTGAAATCCTCTTGGAAAGTACAATATACAATGAATGCATCAAATTAAGGGAAATAATTCTGTATGTGCACATGTGCCAAGTAAAAGTCAAAATGTTTATTTACACCATATATTTTGATCCACATATAAACAGTATAATCTTATTCAGAAGGTACATGTCCAGAGCGCCAGGTCAAAAATCAACCAATGCAATTCTTTAACAATATCTTCTTGCAATTTATACATTCTATGGACCACTTGACCATAGAAATCATGGTGTAATAATTATAGATAAAAAGTTTTTACTGTCGGTAAGAGATGGAATAGAACTATCTGAATAAAAAAAAAGAATTTTCTGAATAAAAAGAACAATGTTATTCTTCTTTATTATGAAAGAGGAGGAATAGAAATTCTAAGTGTAATATACATCAAAAGCTTCACTAAAAACGTGGGTCACAGAGCCCTTTTAACAAAACTGAAGTGTACATTGTTGTGGCACCACTTCGTCCCAGTAAATCATTACATTGACAATACTCTAAATGTTTTGAAGAAGGAGGAATAATCACACGATAATACCAGGCACAATTATTTAAACCTGTCTGACATCATTCTGCTCCAACCAAGTGTGATCAGATCAAATGAAACAGCTTAAAATCAGTCCAGTATTACAATTAAGTGTTTTTTCAATTTCATTTCAGAAATGGATTTATGGGGATTCTTTAACACAGAATAACTTTTTTGATACTAAATATAAATGATGAACTAGATGAATTCAAAAGATATAGACCACTTTTTTAATTTGCCATAAATAATTTTTCTGTTGAATTCACAATAATTCTTACCATAGTGAATTTTTCTAGTGTGGATTTACTTTTTAACTGATAACACATTATACCTTTAGAGACCATTTTAAATGAAAATTGGGTAAATAAAAAAATTAAACTGATCCAGAATTAACACAAAAGGGTATGATGCACAATGTAGAGACAACATATATTGTCATACTGTTTACTGACAAAACATGTAGATTCTCTAGTTGATACATTATACTGTATTTTCTTGCTTTTTTTCTTGTGTCAGTTGTATAATATTTCTTCATTTTGCATGACATATTGTAAAATATATTAAGGATAGAAACTTAGTAAGTTTTACAGAAATTTTGTGTCCTATCCTTTCGATTTACCAGTAATCAATAAAATATCATATGTTCAACACATACAGTACCAGTAGTATTTTTGTTATGCTTATATTTTTTAAAGATTTTATCATCATTTATAAGAAAACATTTATTTGTTGTACTTTTATGTTTCTGCATTTAACTTAAGAGTTACGTGGAATTAAAATTGTTATCTAATACAGTGAATGCAGCTCATAAATGTACCTATGTATTTATTACAATAAAAGTTAACTTATTATAATGATTTTACAATTTTACAAATACAAATGTAACTAAAAGCATCCCCTTAAATAATACATTCTTTTTTATAAATTATCCTGGTACATGTAGCTATGTGATAGCGTAAATAGAAGTCTGGCTTTAGTCAGATTGATGTAGAAGACATACAATGTATTGAAATAATTTGTATCTATGATCTAAATAAATACAAAATATATGTTAAAATCTATCATTTTCATAGCAATGTCGGTATGAATATATAAAATAAATAATTTCAGATGTTGTTTTACAATACTGATTATCACGAGACATCCAGTAACAACAGTAAATTGTATGTGGATAAAATAAAAGATATCGACTTTTACCTCCTCTGTGCGTTGATGAGGGAACTTCTGCAGACATTTAATGAATTGGATATCACTGTGAGCGGCCATCTTGCCACGACCTTCACCTTGTCCCGAGGGTACGTAGCCAGGTGACTGGCGATGGTACTGTGTGGTGTACATTTTACCCCAGTCTATCAACACTACATACTATGGCTTCTCTTTTTCACATTTTTATAACAGAATAGCAACAACATGTAAATTATATTGTCTTTGACTCACATAAACAAACGAGTGTGTTATTTTTCCATCACGTTATTGTTTGATACAATAGACATCCAATAGATTTTTTTAGCCTCACATTGTAGGGAGAGAATTCATTCATTGCACACCAGCAATTTTCTCTGTGCCTAGAATTGCCAGTGCCAGATGGATCTTCTTACTCTCTTGATCTGCAACAGAAGAAAAATGCTTCTGATTCCAAAATATAAATAAACAATACCACTGATATATAGTCTTTGAACAATTCATAGATAAACAATGATTCTGATGTACAGAACCAAGGCATTTAAATAAATACACGATATAACCCAATACCTTCTCATTCATGTGTTTGAAATAACCTGTCTGCTGAAATGATTCAACAAACAATCACATTCATGATACCCTGAATTTGAACATTGCAAACTGGAGAAAGAAAATAAAGGGTTTGCTCCATATTGTTGTTTTTTTTTTTCAAAATTTTTATTTTAACTGGATTAATCCTCCACATAACAGAACTCCTGCTAGTCTAGAAAGAAGCGTTCAGAAGTACAGGAATATTCCTCTTCGTGTGAAACTTACAGTGGATTCTAGATACTAATCCAAACAACAGCTTCTACCAAAAAGAATTCAAAATAAAGTCAGAGGCCCGTTGGACTTAATCACTGATCTGAGTACATGGACTAGTAAAAAGCACAAATTAGTTCAGTATTGAAAAATTTATGGGGGAGGGGGGGGGGGAGTTTACATATCTACTTCGTGATGCCTCCATGTCAATATAGGAATATTGTTTGTGTAATTTTGAATTTTTCTGTAATACTATTGAAAATGAAAAAAACAACAAACTACTACAAGTATTGTTATGTTAGTGACAACTTTATATAGATGCAGAACTCTAGCCCTCAAGTTGAGAAAATTCAGATAAACCAGAGAACTACAGATCCAAGCATTGTAATAGCCTTCCATTTACGGCAGAACTTTTTCAACACTCACTTCCTGGCCAGTATTTTTTTTTTTTTTTTTTTGTATTATATACATTCCCCTTCTTAAACTACAGAAGATGTTAACTGTATAATTTACTCTTATTCCTGAAGAGTTATTTACTTTTTACAGTGCAATAACTAGCAAGATTCAAAAGTCAGAATGCTAAATTTTAAAGATGACATTCTAAGAATATTTAGGGCTCTTTGCAACCAAACACTTAACAGGTAAAAGTTTTGAAAATAGAAATAACAACATTATATGGTTTATTAAAGGACATCAGGATTCAAGCTAGGAAATGCAAATAATTCAAAAAGATAATACATGAGTGAGCAAAAAAACTCATTGTAACAATTAAGAGATGTTTGTAAAACACTTATGCCCCCCTCCCCAAATAGTTGGAATAACTCTTTCCCAAACTGCTCGATCATACCCCTGACAGAACTTGACTTAGACAAATATATAATGATAAAACTGCATACCAAATTTCATTTCAGTGTGTGCAACCTCTGCAAAGAAAATGAACGGAAACTGATGGTGGACCAATAGACAGACAGACCGACAGCAGCAAAGAAATATGCCCTCCCTTCTTTGAAGGGTGGCACAAATATTAAGTTTTGACATTGCTTGTATCTGTAGCTCTCTGATTTGTCTGTTGGAATTTTCTCAGCCATGCTGAGAGCTACAGTTCTGCAATCTAAGCTTTTACCTGCTGTAAGTCAGTTTAAAATCGGATCCCTGACCTTTTCATTTTCAGGATTGTGGGAACATTGTACATACTGAATTTGCATTAATCAAATAAGAAAAATAATCATTTAATATAATAAATATCCTAATGAACACAGAATAATCAAATATTAATTATCAGATTAATGATTTTAATCAATTTGATGATACATCATCAAGCATATATGGCAAGTATATGACAAAAAGGTAACATGGACAGAAGTCCAACAAAAATCAAATATAGACTAATTCAATTAACATAACATTCTTCAATTATCTTAAAACACATTTTTGACATAGTAAACAGTCTTATTCAAACATTATCAGAGATACACGGAATACACCTGTCCATATTTACCTGCCAAGGTTAGTTTGACGAGATGCTTCGTAGACAAGTCCCTTGGTAGCAATGAGCTCTATTTCACATATTTTAACATATTAAACCTCTTAAATAAAACTTTCAAATTTCTTCCAACATGATTGTATCACATCAAATTCGCAAAAAAACATATTTGATTCTTACCAAATTGTTTACTGCATGGGTATTCCGCCATATTGCCTATGATCTGTTTACAATGAAAACGAGGCTGTTCCTCTGACGTATTTAGCGCCCCACCTCCAACACCTGTTGCACAAAAATATTAGCTATGGTGAAAAGAAATGATTCAAAGTAATAAGATACCTTTATGCTTACTTATAGATTAAATACTACATTTTATGTTGTTGAAATTTATTAGTATGTAGATATTATGGATTTTTACTTTTTACAAAAAAGTGTTTTGTGTAGAAAAGAGGGGGGGGTGATTAACTTCAATTAATCCCATTACCAAATTATCAGTTTGAATTTTATGCAAAATATTTTTGTTCATAGTATTACATGTATTGTGATAAACTTCGTACATAAGTTACACGTAATCATGTTTGAAAAATAACTTTAAAACCCGCCCTTTCCCGGGGGGGGGGGGGTTAATATTGTCACGATGTGCCGTATTATACCTCGGAAAAAACGGATGATTGATTCATTAATGAGTAGTTTTCTTTTTATAAATCACAAAAATGTTCCTTTACATCTTAAAATTGCTTTCTGTCCTATAATTAATTAAGTACCCCTCGGACCAAGCACAAATTCATCCCCCCGGGGGGGGTTAAAAAAATATATATATATCCCAAATATTTGACCAAAAATACTAAAGCCCATTGGGCACACTTTAAGGGTTCTCTTGGGTTTTTGGTTTAAAAAATCAAATACATTACAGCTTAACGCGAGAGCTTCGGCAACAAAACGCAAATATATTCTCGCGTGAAAACGCGTTACTCATTCGCGAATAAACGCAAAACTTTTATTTTTACGGAGGGATAACTTTTAAATGAAACATGAGACTTCTTTGAATTCATAAATGACAATTCCTCAGACGATGCAAATAGAAATTATTTGAAAATACGATGGATTAGTCTTCTGAATTTTGCCGGCATTTTATTTCAAACCCTCCAAATCAATAGAATGACTATTCTTTTTAAAAATAAATATTTTCTAACTTGTTTTTCACTTGTTAAACTCAAGAAATTTTTAGACTGTTTTTGTTGTTGTTTTTTTTTTTCTACTTCTGGGAGTTTTCCAGTGTCCAAAGCTATTTGTTTTTATTAACCTTTATTACAACTGTACCACTAGGACATTTTTTTTCAAAGAATAATTTATAATTGGATATTGTTAATTTTAAATTTATCGAGGAGGAGGAGGAGTCAACATTTCTTGAATTTTATCCATGATTTTTATATATGAGGCCGGGGTTTATTCAAAAGTTCGTGATTAGCGTCATCAATTTAATCTATTGAGGTATACAGCGAAGAGTATGTACACTTTTAGTAATTACATGTATCAATGTTTCGTATGACCACGTGGAGCAACTTTAAAATAAGATGTTGTATTTCTGTTGTGAGTATATAAAGGAGATAAATGAATGTTTGTCATCCAATTTTCGCATTAGTCACCTATGTGATCATATCGGACACGATTGACAAACTTAACCCATTTTGTCAATTTTCTGAGACGAAATATGTGTATGGAGTTAACGAACGGTATCCAAGTTCACAGATCCATTCATGTCATTTCATATCCTACAGACATTGTTAAAAATGCCCCCCCCCCCCCAAATAATTCATGACTATTGCTTGGAAAAACTCGCATAAACTTTGAATTGTTTGAAAACCGTCGAGAAAGAAAAAATGTTAGGGGGAAAAGACTTAGAAAGAGAAAACCACAACTAATAGCAGAAAACTTAAAATTGCAGCTTGCGATGGTCCAAATTCAAACTAGCCTTTCGTTTTGTAATGAATAATCCACAGAAAATGGAAAATAACACAGACACTTGCTTAAGACATAATTTTTTAACACATAGTACAATAATAACAGCGTTGTTATTATACTTAGTTAAAAATTCAATTCTTAAACAAGTGCCTGTGTTTTGTGTATCTCAGTAGGTTCCAAAATATTTTTTCTTCCTTTACTATTATATATTTGAATACTGAATACCCTCCAGGGAGAGGGGTACAGTCTGGCCCTCCCAGTTCACTATGATTTGTGATGAAAAGTGTACATCCCTATTCATGAAGTTGATATAAACCTACAGCAAAGTCTGACCGCTAGGCAATGAAAAAAGTTTTAGAACTATAAATTATGATGATCCCAGACCTCAGTTGTTCATTTCGTCCTCATCCAGGAAACTGAAGATAAAGCAAAAAATCCTATATTCAATTTAGCAATGTTGATGTGAAGAAAACACAAACAAGAGATGTTTGTTAAATACTTATGCTCCCTCTCCCAAATAATTGGAATTTTTTCTAATCCAAGGGACGTACTCTCTCAAAAATGGCTCGATCTTACCCAAAAGAAAACTTGACCTAGATATTCTTATGGTAAATCTGTATACCAAATTTCATTTCAATATGTACAACCTCTGCAAAGAAAATGAATGGAAACTAATGGTGGACCGACAGACAGACCGACCGACCAACAGACCGATAGACAGCAGCAAAGCAATATGCCCTCCCATCTTCAAAGGGGGCATAAAAAGTTTTAAAAACATTTGTATATTTGTAAATGGTTTTTAATAGATGCAAGTAATTTTTTAAAATTTAAAAAGAAATACAACTTTGGATTTCAGATTCTTACACATGACAATGCAATACCAAGATATTTAATTTACATTAAATTCATTATATATAGATAATGTAACAATTTTTGGCAAGAATAACAATCTGTCAGATGTAAAAACAAAAAAGGGGGAAAAGAAATTTTCTCCATAAAATTGACACCTAGTGATGGTAAAGAAAGAATATCCTGGTTTTTCTCAATGTTTTATACACCAGTGTAAAAATTGATATACATACATTATGATTTCACATGAAAAAGGCCATTCTCTGCTTACAAAGTTACACTTTGAAAGACAAACCTCCAATTGTAATTTGAGCCAGTAAACTATTTAGACATCTGATCAAGTAATTAACATTTCAGATTTTTATTTAATCTGTAAAAGTTGAAATGCAGAAAGAAACAGTGACTAGGAGTTCCAACTAGCTTCAACGATCCCATGGTGTTTGAGATATCAAAGTATGCGATAACAATTTAAGTTAAATTAAATTAAATTGTTATGGATATGATGTAAATCCCACATTTAACGATTTCAGGAGACAATGAAATACACTGTATCTTTCAAAGTGTTTTCGACTGGGAAACATAGAATAATAGTGTCAAATAAAACAAGTGAGTTAAGACTAGTAAGTTCTAGTGTCAAAAGATTCATCCTGTTTTAAAAATATTTGAAAATGTCCATAATTACAACAGCAACAAACATAGCCCATTACTAGATTGTTTTTATCATAAATTACAAGTATTTTGTTAATATTATAATTTCTTCTACACTAAGTATTGATTTTAGCAGATTTCTGACTATTGTTGGGGCAGTTATATGTCATTGTTATATAGCCTGTAAGAGTGCTTTACAAGCATTAAGATACAATAGTCACAAAATTCTTGTTTAAAACAGAATTCATCTTTAAAAACTACATACACATGTATACTGGTGTTACAAATCCGATACAGATTAACAACAGATTTAAGTTTAACATCAAAATAATATTAAATACTAGATAAATATATAAAATGGTTAAAATAAACAGTACTGACTATAGAATCATGGTTTGGAATTGGTTCAGTAAAAATTGAACATATAAAAGACATAATTTACACATAATAAAAATCTACAACAGATCACAGGTGCTAAACCACCTTAGACAAACTGTGTGTCTTGTGAGCAGATCAGAGGGTCCTCAGCAAAAGGCTTCCTCCCCATCAGAAAGTACAGAATATTGACCAGTCTCTCCTGATTAGTTAGTGCTGACTTAGTCTTCCTCATAAACACAGTGGTCACTCCTTTAGACACCAGAGCTAACTGAAACCTCAGAAGATTAATGCCCCAGATAATGGACACAGCATTCATGGCTATCAGACTCAACACCCAACACTCTGACCAGAACATGGAGTAGAACATGTGGCTCCATGTCTGACCAGCGTAAGTTCTGTATGTGTAAAAGGCACAATGCACCAGGAACAGAGTCATGGAAACCATACAGCTGATGATGAACCAGCAGAATAAGGCATGGTTCTTTTTGGCAACACATGTCAGGAGGAAAAGGCAGTGGTGGTCCATGTTCTCAAAGCACCTCTCACAGAGCCGGCAGTGTTTTGTTCGTGGAGCCCTCACAATCTGAAAAATATATTGAAGTATAGAAATGGAACTATTCAATATCAAAAGCAATTCTATTGGTAATTCTTTTTATGGGCCTGAATCGATAGATTCGGGGCATATATTGTTTTTGTCCTGTCTGTCTGTCTGTTTAGCTGTTTGTCTGTCTGTTGTCAACTTTAACCTTAGCCATAACTTTTGAACTGTGTGAGATACAGACTTCATATTTGGTATGCATACTCCACTAATTAAGCTCTTTCAAATGACAGCTCTTGTTGACCTTTACCTCAGCTGGTATATAACTGGTCAGTTTTACCCCTGTATTCCAGTTTTGTTGACCTTACCTCTAAGTTGGTACAGAACTGTTCAGTTTTACCACTGTATTCCAGTCTTGTGGACCTCACCTCTAAGCTGGTACAGAACTGTTCAGTTTTACCACTGTATTCCAGTCTTGTGGACCTCACCTCTAAGATGGTACAGAACTGGTCAGTTTTTACCACTGAATTCCAGTCTTGTGGACCTTACCTCACAACTGGTACAGAACTGGTCTGTTTTTCTCTGAGGCACACACAGGTCTATCAGCGTCATAGGTCTGCCGGACTCTTGATCCCGAACTGATTCTGTGGCAGCTCCTTCATAACAGAACAAAGTATTTACTTTGTAAAATGTATACCAAATTAATCATATGATCACCAATATCTTTTTATATCGATATAATATTATATATAAGGATTTCCCTGATTTATATTTAAATATGATTTTGTCTGTTTTTTATCTATGAACCATAATTTTCAATTGAAATACATGCAATTCCAACACCCCTGTTAATTCATAATGCCTATGATGTACTTATATAGTGCAGATAAATATTATCTTTCTAATTTTTTATTAACCAGTACTAAGGGCGAAACGATTACACGTGTAAACGGCGACGTTTCGATTTTATTTATTACATTGAAAACGTTTACACGAAGGTATTATCAATGTCTATCAGAAATGTTTGATTTTTGACCATTTGATAAGCAACAATCTATAACGGAAACAGATTGAATAAAAATGTTTAAAACCCAATGTGGTTTAACATATTTAATTCCGATTTCCGTGTTGCGAATACTAGCGATGTTTTATGACACTTGAAATATAAAACTTGATATATTTTGATTAAATAAATATAATACATTTTTCACAAGTCTTTGAAAAGTGTTACAGTCAGCAAGTCTTGTTATACTTAATTCGAAATTAAAAGATCCATCTTTACAATTCTTTTTCTACGTCCGGTATGTAGCCAAACAAACCAATGAAGTTTCATGCGCCTCAAATTGTTTCGTCATAATGACCAACAATGAAATTGTAATAACAACTCACACTTATTTTAAAGTGAAAGAATTGATCATTAAATTCGAGTTTCCTGATCCAACATAAACTATCTCCCGTTTAATTTTTTACATTTTAAACGTTTACAAAATTCAGTAAACGTTTCACCCTTAACCAGTACATGTATATGTTTGTTTTATTGAAAAATTTGGAATTAGGAATATATCAGAAACATTGTAATGAATACCTGGATCACTCCTGAGAACTTTGATGTACATGTAAATCATCACAAACCCCAGTAATGTCGCTATTACATTGAAGGTTGGGTACTCATTACAATCTTTGTACAATTAAGTCAGTGTAGTATATGATATTGTACAACTTAGCATAAGCCAAAAGTATGCATTATTATTGAAAATTCAACATCTTATTAAATGAACTTTCAGAAACTGTTTAGAAATCCATTACGAAGTTGCTGTTGAAAAGGATACTTGGTAGAAGGTAAAATAACTGCAGTATAGCCGTATGTAAGACACCAGCAAAGAAAGTCCCAGCAAACACAGGGTCAGGCCACCTGAAAATGAATATGTGGAGAAAACAATTAATAACGCTCATAAAATGGAATCGCAAACATTCATTTTACAAGGAAATAGTGACAGATGCCATTATCAATTTAATGATGTTAGATAAGTCTGCTTAAATTTTAAATATTTTGGATATTTCATTAAGCAATCCAATGGAATTATCAGGTATGCTCAATGATGCCCCATCATGCATCATTTTTTTTTTAAAATCATGAACAGAATATGCAATGGAATGAAAGCTATTACCTAGAGATGTGATAAATTCTGTGGTTATGTCTCAAAAGGCTTAAAATAAGAAAGATCATTCCAGCAAAGTACACCATTCCCTGGTGATCCGGGAGCAAATAGTGGGCCGAGAGGGCAATAGTGGCATACAACACCGCGGGCATGAAGAGAAGCCACCACCAGGTTAAAACTGGTCCCCGCGGAACGTAGTTCTTGTCCTTTTTGGCGAGCCATTGCAGTAATGGGGTTATTTCTTTGTGTCTGAAATATACGTCAAGATGGATATCAATTACATGAAATATATGGTCGTTATTACATATACTAGCAAATTTTAGGAAGAATTTAAAAGATAACAAAGTCATACTGCATAACCTGGATTGGGGCAGTTTATGTTCCAACCCACATTATACCAGTATAACTTGGGTAGCTTATAATTTTAAAATTTCCCATTATTAAGCAGTAAAAATAAGACAATTTTTTATTCAAAAATGCCCTCAAATGATGTGTTACTACCAAAATTATATTATTTTAAGGTGTTCATTTTTTATTCAAAATACAATTCTAATATAATGTGCAATCCTTGCTATTAGAAGAAATGTGTGTAGGACTTACCCATATTTATTTCTTTGTGCTGCTAAATCCACTGGAGTGAATCCTTCACGGTTGGTTAAGTGAAGAGGACCACACCCCGTGACCACTAAGAGTTCCCAACATAAGTAAGGGTGTCCTTCCCGAGCCACAATATGGAGGACCGTGTTCCCATCCCCATCTACCTGGGTCAGGTTTGTTCTCTACAGAAATGTTCAGAAGCTATTTGTGACAATGTTTAAAGTAATACATTTGTGCACTCATAATCTTTACTATCTTTAAACATGTACATTAAATTTTCTGCAAGTGCTCTGCAAACTCTTTTTACTGTTATATGATTCATGCACATGTTTCACTTAAAATAATAAGCTTATGTTTTTTTCACTTAATTAAATTCTAATTCTGAATACTGTAGAAGCACTAATTTTCGTTGGGATAAAATTTCGTTGATTTGTAATCAAAAAAAGTTTCGTTGGCATTTAATTTCATTGTTTTGAAAGTAACCGTAATCAATATATGGTCATATAAAATTTCATGTGGGATTTAATTTCGTTGTTAATTATTAATAACGAAATTTAGTCCCCCACGAATATTTGTGCTTTTACAGTATTTTGATATGTGCTTCTAAATTCAAGTATTTTATTTTTCAGTTATACTGTATCATTACAATTTACATAAAATTATAAATAAAAGTTCTTGAACAGCATGGGTGTTGGGAAAAAAAATTATTACATATGTTACTTTAGTACTATACCTCTGCTTTGATAAGGAATTTAAATGCATCAACATGGCCATGAACACAACATATATGTAAGGGTGTCTGTAGGTTTTTGTCCACTGCATTGAAGTTTACACCATTCATTTCAAGATACTTCATAACATATCTGAAAATGCCAAACCAAGATGTTAATAAAGCTTACAACTGTACACAAGAAAGCAAGTAACATCCATTTTAAATGACACGTTTTTATCTTAAAATAACACAATAACAACTAAACTTTCACAATTGCTTTTATCTAGTCAGAACAATAGGAAGCTGATTACTACAGTAATCATATTTTCTGGCATCATTTTGTTACTTAGAATTATATATAAATCAGAACAGTTCTCACACACTCCCTGTCTGGGCGGCATGGTGGGCTGCCGTTTTTCCATTCTTGTCCACAGTGTCTAGGTTACCTCCCCTTTGTATAATAAGGTGCACGATCTGAGCCAGGCCCCGTTTACAGGCGTAATGGACGGGGGTCTCGTCAAACTCATTCCTGGCGTTGGGGTCCGACCCGCCCTCCAGTAACAGGTAGCTGACGGACCAGTCCCCACACAGACAGGCCTTGTGTAAAGCTGTCTGACCGTGCCAACCTGAAAACGTCCTCAACATTTTATACAGGCATTCATAATATGTACAAAAAATGTACCAACTTACTGAGGTTGTTAATCTGTTTCATAAGACTAAATATCCAAAGCAAGAGTTTCTATAGAAAGTTAATTTTCAAGTACACAAACTGAAAAGGCACCACCTTTACTTTTCAAGAAAAATCATTACAAAAGTTAAATATAACTCTCTGGTTGTAATGGTTACCTACAGGTAACTAGAACTGTCCAAACGGGACAAAATACCCCCCGCTGGGTTTTTTCAGAAGCAAGTTTTTCCATAATAAAGATATGTATCACACATGAATTAAGAAATTTTTCTTCCAGTGACCTTGAAATTCCCCAAATGACCTTGGGTCAAGGTCATGACATACTCTTGGGTCATGGGCAATCTTTGTGTGAAATGAGAACCTACCAAGTTTATCCATAAAAAAGATATGGACTGGAAAGAATTATGAACTTTTTCTTCCAGTGACCTTGAACTTCCCCAAATGACCTTGGGTCAAGGTCATGACATACCTTTGGGTTATGGGCAATCTTTGTGTGAAATGAGAACCTACCAAGTTTATCCATAAGAAAGATATGGACCGGACACGAATTATGAACTTTTTCTTCCAGTGACCTTGAACTTCACCGAATGACCTTGGGTCAAGGTCATGACACACCCTTAGGTCATGGGCAATCTTTGTGTGGAGTAGTAGATTCTAATGTCCCTCCATAAGAAAGATATGGACCGGACACGTTTGCACAGACAGACGGACAGCTAGACAGACAGACAGACGGACAAGGTGATTCCTATATACCCCCCCAAACTTCGTTTGCGGGGGGGTATAAAAAGTCCCTCTTAGTTATATTGCCCCCTCCCCTCACCTGACCCCATTCCACCCCTTAAAATAAAGGATTTATAGAATTTCCAATATATCCAATATATTTTCACATTAAATGACATATTGTATACAAAACTCTGATGGTAGATAAACTATGTTTCATTTATATGAGGATAATTAAATTAATTTATTACAAAATGCATATCCACTACAACTTTGTCTAAAGCTTGAAATGCATTTTCTTTGTTTCTCCATTTTATCTTTTTTTCAAAATAGCAGCATTTCCATGCAAACAATGCAATGCCTTTCATGAATTCTCTCATTTTTCTGTGAGTGTTCTGTTCTCCTTGCATAATACTGCCTTTGTGTGAGTGAAGATTATTAGATCAATATTGACAGTTCAGAGGATGGAAGCCAAGGAGACTGCACGATATCAAGATTAAAAAAAACCACACCTGTAAGACGTGAGAATCTTAAGCTGACATGAAGATATACTATGCCAAAGTACTTATATGTAACTTAAGGCAAGGCTGTTTTAACTCATCATTCAAATTACTTAACCTCTTCAAATGTGGTATAGATTGGAATACATTGTGGAGGATTGTTTGTCTGATTGTAATCTGTCTGATGTATGGTTTCAACCATTATACCAGTAATCCCTTTGGAGACTTAAAAAGCATATAAATGAACTATCAGTTTCGCTTTTTGATAAGAAAGGAAAATTTTGCACAATAATATTGACTTTCAACATGAAAGTTTGGTTTATATAGCTTAAATATTTACAATTAATGCAAGTCATATGAGATAATTACATCAATACTCGAGAGTATGCATGCCCATAGATTTTATACCCAGGAAGTAAATACTAATTTTCCCTGAAAGGATCCTATATATATTTCTTCACATGTTAATTGTTGGTCATCTTGCTTTATGGCTTTATTTCAGCCATCTCTGCTTTTCCTTTGATATTAAAGTTGTGTGTTACAACTAATTTTTATATAAAAGTAAAGTTAATTCTCGATAAACCGCCACCTTTTGTAATTTAGAAATCATGGCGGTATAACAAATTTGGCGATGAATCGAATTTCCCATCTTTTTAGAAAACAAAAAGTGCAATTACCGTTCTTAGAAATACCATTTAAGCGTTTCTATTCTTATAATAAAATGGACATATTTTTGATTGAAAATACTTCCAGTATTTTTTTATGTACAATTTCACTAAAACAAAATGTGCAGTAATGAAATAAAGACAAGTCATGTGTATTTAATATTATGTAAATCTACACGTCTGATATTGAAAAAAAACAAGCTGGGTCGATCGTCGTGATTTATTGCCGAAAGTACGTAAAATGAATTCTTGAATAAATTCATCGTTTATGGCATCATTGTTAATGAAACGTTCAAAATTCATGCCGTATAATTATTTTTTCAGCAAACTTTGCATTAATTAAAGCAGACATCATCAAAATAATATTGTTATCCGCGCACTATAACAACGACCGCTTTCCTGGCGAAGCCGTGACTAAATGATTTTTATTAAACAAAAATCAAAATTATTATAACAGTTCATGTTAAAATTATTCTTTATTTTATTCTTGTTTAATTACTAAATTGCATGTACCTTGTCTGCCTTTGCATGCTTTAAAACAGGGATAGCGTCAACTAATTAGCCGCACTTCACTGACCGTTTGAATCTGTGGCGGTATATCGAGATAATTGACACTTAAAAATGGACGTTTGTTTTGAAAACAGCCCAAATGAAAAAAATTAAGGGGGAAACAAAATACTATAACAAACTACTTACAAAACACTGTGTTTTGAAAGTATTCCGATAGTATAGCAAATCACATGCAAATGAGCTAACAAAACACTATAACAAATTACTTTGAAAACACTCTAACAAACTACTTATGAAACACTCTAACAAACTACTTACAAAACACTGTGTTTTGAAAGTATTCCGATAGTATAGCAAATCACATGCAAATGAGGCTAACAAAACACTCTAACAAACTACTAACAAATCATAAGTAACAAATCATCAATAAACCACTAAATTTGAATTTTAAAATTATAATCCACATGCAAGTCTATGGAAGGGAATTACCGCCAAAAGTCTATGTATCTTGCTTTTATTCTTATTCTGCCTACTTCTTTATGCTTTGTTATTATTGTAATTATATGTCACTTTATTGTTTTCATATTCGTCTTTATTACATTTCACTTTGACTTTTATCCTTCTTCATTTTTTCCTTACTTCTATGTTGCTTTATTCTTGTAAATTCATTCTACCTTCTTTTAAACTTAAACAGTTTCTTAAATAAATTATTCAATCACGCAAACAATGAAGCATATTCAATGAAGACTAATCGAAGTTGTCAAACCGTCAAAATTTAGTGCGGCATTATAACGCTAGGTGGTGTGGTGTTAGCTACGAGTGTTGGTAAAACTAGGTAACCAAACCCAGGTCGGGTTATTTGAGATTCTTCAAAACGCCTTAGCAATCGAACTTCTGAAGGCCGGATCAAATAATCCGATCCAATAATGGAAACTCCATATTTATTTTCTCTGGGCACAAAGGAATAGCGGCCTCTTTTTTCAGACATAACTTTATACTATACTGAATATGTTCATTGAACGGCCGACCCACTTTTTGTAAGAGTAAGGGTCAAATAAGTTTTAGTAGTACGTATGGTAGGAAAAAAAATTGAATTTGATTCTATAGAAGAAGTTGAATATAACCCAAAACTCACCCCACCTTCGAAATAGGATTTTATTGGCATCGGAAGCAAATTGAAAGTGGGGGGGCTAAGTGTAAGAATTTTTTAAGACCTTCAAAAAAAAAACCTGACAAGCAAAAAAAAAAAAAAAAAAGAAAAAAGAAAAGAAAGAAAAGAAAAGGAATGTCAATTTTCCGAACTCAAATATTCAATTTCTTAGGGGGGGGGGGGGGTTAGGTTCGAACTCCAGTGCCAAAGTTTTTTTTTCTATACACCACCACTTTTCCCATTTTAAACCTATACTGCGTCGTGTCCATGGCAAGTGGGGGGTGGTCTAAACCTATGCTGGAACGTCTGTACTAAGTCTATCTCTGGAAAAAAAAGTGGGTCCAAGCCCCCCCCCTACGGTTCCGACGCCTAGTATTTTCAAGTTTGGACAATTTCCTGTTTTTTTTTTTTTTTTTTTTTTTTTTTTTTTGCGCTTGTCAAGTTGTTTTCAGCCGGGTACTTTAATATTTATTCTCTTGTTGCCCCCTCCCCACTTTCAAAAACGTACAATGCTACGTCACTGTTCTCTCGCCTGAAAAATATAACTCATTTAAAGTTAATTATTTGTTGGATAATTGAATTCCAGTTTAATTGATATAAAAAATGTTCAATATTTTGATATTAGTTAACCCTCATGAATTGGGTTGTTTTTCAGAACCTTCCACTGAACTGAACTTTATTTCACGACAGATAATAACTGCTCATGCGCGTGATTCTAGGGACAGGGCTTTGCAAAGGAGTGAGGAGGGTTAATATGGGTAGTCAGGCGCGGATCAAATTTTTTTTCAGAGGGGGGGGGTCCACCCCAGTCCAAAAAAAAGTCCAATCCCAGAAATTTCTTGACGAGCATAAAAAAAACTAAACTCGCCCAAACGTCAAAATCCTATTTCGTAGGGAGCGTTTAACTTTTTTTCCTTGCTTTAGTAAATACATTTTAATTTAAACCTTGTAAATTCCAGGGGGTCCTAACACCCCACCCCCCTCTAGATCTGTGCATGGTAGGGGAAGTAGGAACTAGGCTTCGTGCATCCAGACATACTGGAAACTCCCTGGTCTTATTTTCAGCGTTGATATTTTATATTAAAATAGCACTTAATTTTCAATAAAGAAAGAAATATCTTTAGTACGCATCGTATTTGTGATCAGCCAGGAGAGCTAAAAAGTCTTAGAACTCGAAAATTCTGTTTGGTGGTGGTGAGGGGGTAGGGGTCGTCAACTTATTTTACTCATGCCAATAAGTACATGACTTTTAATATATGAATTGACTATTAGTACTGCAACAAAAAGGGTGAGGGATGGGGGCAACAAGCCTTTCGCTGAACTTTTCCAGTAGTAAAAAGTTACGTTTAGGAAAATGTTTCGTGGCCACCCAGCCCTCTACCGGCGAAACTTACCCCATAGGAGGTTCCACCCGGAAGTCAGTATATATATATTGAGACTTTGGTGGTTTGATTGTACATTGTATAATGTCCCTTGCGAGAATTTTTAACTCAAAAGGAGAAGCCACATCTTGCCGGTGGAGAGCTGCAAATTTGTCCTATATACGTCTTGGCACTTAGCCATTGAGCAGTGAGGGATCTTTTTTCGTGCCAGCACCTACTACGACACGGGACCTCGAATAACAAGGTCTAGATTTCATCCGATGGATTGAACTCCACGTCCTACAGTGGGATTCTTACCCACGACGTATTGATCGACTCCTTACCTCTGTACTTCGTGACTCTAAAGCAGACGCCGTAACCACAGTGCCACGCGGGGTGGGGGGGGGGGGGGTCATTATCCATATGTACTAGTGAAGATTATCTATGTTTACATATTGGTTAAAATGATTTAATTATAAAGCACTTTTAAAATGATATTATTTAAATATTTATTCATACATGTATCATGTGTATAGGACGGATAACTTTTCTTCAAAAACTGAAAACGTTTGTAATGTATATATAAACATCGTTTTACGATTAAAATAACTATTCGGGGAGGGGTTGCTATGAAGGGGGGGGGAATTGCTATTTATATCGAGATTTCCCACGGAAGACTAGCTATACCCCGGGGGAAGTCCCACTGTATAGTCTTCCGAAGGAAGCATCACTATGTTGTCAGTCTTCCAGGAGAAATCTTACCATTTAGCGAGACTTCCGAGGGAATGGCATGTATCGGGTACATACCTGAACTAACAACAAACATCATTCATTTAAAAATCTAAGTTCCATTGATAAAAGTATTAAGGCAGAAAATTAGAAAAAAAACTCGAATAACCCCGGCCCGGTTTGCTTACCTAATTTTACCAACACTCTTAGCGAACACCCCTGCCACCTAGCGTTATAATGCGGCACTAAATTAGGACAACTCGTATTCGTCTTCATTGAATATGCTTCATTGTTTGCGTGATTGAGTTAACGTTCGTAATAGAGATAATCATTTAAGATACTGTATCAATTTCAAAGAAAATAAAATGACTTATCAAGAATAAAGAAACATAGAAGTAAGGACGAAATGAAGAAGGATAAAAGTCAAAGTGAAATGTAATAAAGACGAATATGAAAACAATAAAGTGACATATAATTACAATAATAACAAAGCATAAAGAAGTAGGAAGAATAAGAATAAAAGCAAGATACATAGACTTTTGGCGGTAATTCCCTTCCATACAAGTCTTTGAAAACATCTAAACACAACCTAAACACAATCTCATTTTGATACATTATAAACACTTCTTGTTTCACAGTATTTTGAATTCAAGGATTGACTTTTCCAATCACATACATTTTCACAGAATTTTCAAGTATTATAATTAATTCATATCACTTAATCCAAAGCTTAAAACTGATCTAAGCTAGCTAGTTTATGGATTAAAGGACAATCTTAAAATAAATCAAAACCCAATAAAAACAGGCCATATATACACATCCACATTCACAGATTGAAGGTTATACTGTACTCCAGTAAAAAAGAATTATAACTTAATGACATGCAATAATAAATACCTCTTTTATATCCAGATTCATCCTGATTTTGCTTTTTCCAATCAGGGATCAATAATATTATCTAAAACTTTGCATGTCCCTTCACCAATCTCTTTGTTTCTCTCTGACCTACAGTGCTGGTGGTTTGAAATTTGGCGCAAATACTAGTCTAACACAGGATGTAAATAGATAAGTTGTTCTTGGAAGCTTTTACTACTCTTAGATAATTCAACCCTAAACATGTCTGTTAATCAAATAAAATGCTAACAAAATATTACTTGGATGCACACAAGTGTAACGAAATACTTTCAAAATGCAATTTCATTCTGCAGAGTGTAAAGAAACATTAATAAAACACCAACATTGTAATGAAACATTAACAAAATACCATGCCATCCCAATCCTATAAAGTGTTGCATTGATGTTTCGTTAAATGCAACACTTTCAAAACGTACAAACAAAATACAAAAGTATGTTTTGGTAGGGTTTTGAAGATATTTTAAAAGTATTTTGTTAGATTTCTTTTTCATTTGGGAGGGTGGCGGATGGCGGTATGCGAATTTGGCGTTATAAAGAGAATTTTATATAGCAGGAAAAACGTTCTTGGGCAATCATGGCGGTATTGCGAAAATGGCGATGAATCGAATGGCGATAATTCGAGAATTGACTGTAATGCTCAACAAATTAAATCTGATTAGCTTCCTATTGCAGAAAGGAACAACAAGGAACTTGGTGAGGAAAATTCAGTAACTTAAAGCAAGATAATCTGCAACATTTAAAACCTTGAATTAATGCATACAATCTGTAAATAAGTTCTGCAAGCTTACCACACCTTCTTGTGTTGACCCTGGAAATGCTTTAGTAGCTAAGAGTAAGAGGTAGTGGCAAAACACAAGTATCTGGCACCTTAAAATAACTGGAACCTTAGAATGTCTAAGGGTAGGACACCCTGACCCAAAAAACACCGAGCCTCCAAGCCCAGGAGGTGAGCTTTGGGATAACAACCCGAACTCATAAGAATTTATTTTTATGGAAAAAATCACTAGGAATATCTCTTGTAAAGTAAACCTTTAGATGGGAGTCTCTCTAGGACCAGCACTGGAACCAGTATGACTAGGTAGTGAAAGCCATTGGGAAACTACCGACATGAATAGAGAGGCCCTCAACACAGCCAAAACGGAGGTCAGAATAGGACAGCATCATAATATAAAGATTGACAGCCCTCTCCTGGAGACCAGAAGAAAAACGTAAGACAGGAAGGCCCAAAGTTGCTTGGTGGCAGACAACAGTAGCCAAAAAGCCCAAAATATGAATAAAAGAGAATTAAGCTGGAGCACACTCTAAAAGCTAGCTAGAGATGAACAAGGATGGAGAACCCTCATTACTGCTCTTTACGCCAATGGCGTCACTAGCAGTAAATTAGTATGTCTTACTTATCCCATGCAATTTCTAAAAATCTTCATCAACAATAATTCTTCTCTAACTTGTTCAGCTGTTGTTATGCATGCAGTTTTGGGAAATAGTTCGAAAATGGTAATGTTTGACCAATATCATACCATTTACTTATGCACAGTGTTATCCGTTTAATATCAATATCTGAATATGTATGCAAGATATTCCTATTGTTGTTTGTAAAATGCATGTTTAACGTACCTTTTTCACGGACAAGACCTGGTTCCTGTTGAATCAGTTGATGCACCAATGGAACAGCACAATTACTTATGGCTGACAACAGCAGCTGAAATTTTTCACTGCCATACCCCGCCCCAGGACCAATCTCTCCGGGGTACACAACTTTTGGATATGGATCAGGATCTGACATTTCCTTACCCCTAAAAAGTAATCTACGATCTCATACTAGACTTACTGCTAACCTAAAGGATTCAATACCATTTTCTACTATTTAACACTGGAATAATCAGAATTTGATATATTATTTTGCACAATGCTTGTCGGTAGGCCCTAGCATGGAATGTTAAATCTGTGATAGCTCCCGAGGATATCCGAAACGAATCTGTTTCTGTGACGATGATTTTGATTGGTTCTTATCTTACCATCCAATCAAAAATGTTTATACAGTAGTTTAGTATCTACTTTCAATTTGTTCAGAGGGAAAAATAAGAAAGCTCAAAACATGGACAACCAAGAAAAACAGAAACAAGTTGGAACGTCAAGAAGGAAACGAATGAAGGCCGTTCAAGCAAAAATCAGAGAACAAGTAATTTATGTCTGACCTTTAGCTTTAAGAATAACTTCACACTGTTATATCAAAAATGTATGGCAACTTGTGCAAGTAAAAGGAACTCATCTTTCATAAATTGATGAGCACATTATTTAACTTTTCCATTGTCATTTATCTTTGTCAGTGATGAATTAAGCAACAAATATTGTCCGAATTGAGTGATATGTAGTGTATATGTTGTTAAAATTTATAATATAGTACTGAGCAGCTACTGAGGTTCATAGAAGTGGAAGTTTTTTATCTTAATGTTCTATATTGCAGATGGAATTTTACTTCAGTGACTCAAATATAGCTAAGGACAGATTTATGAAAAACTTGATAGAGTCATCAGAAGGTGGATGTAAGTACGAGGGAAGCAAGGGAAACTAGCTGCAATAATACAACCCTCTCCAATTTTTAAAATCTGATTTTTACTGGAGAAGGCTACATACAATTCCTCTGATTTATCAAGCTATTTTGTTTTACTACCGTTTTATATGTAAAGGGGAAAAATGAGAGCCGCAGGCTCGATCTGAGTGCCGGAGGCAAAATAAATTGTTTTTGAATTAAACTGCTCCCCCGGAAAATTTTTAAATACCGTAATTTTCAGGTTATAGGTCGATACTTTTTTTCTCAGAACCGCTGGGCTCGCCCAATATACGAATTCGACCTTTCTAAGGCTCAAGTTTACGAAAAATGCCCCAAAATCAATAAAATATACGTAAATTTCAGAGCAAATCTGTGCCACTTTTATAACTTTTTTCATTATTTTACGCAGAAAAATTAATGCATAGGTAAACAATAACATATTTATTCTATAGCTTTCTTACAAAATAAATTCCATTAAATATCCGTTGATGACAAAGGAAAAAACTGTGCTTCATCAAGTTAATAATTCCTCAACGTGTTATCCATTGCCATCATGCGGTAGCCATCTTGTGAAGTTAGGAAGTCGCTACCGTTTACTAAAAGTAAAACCGCAACCGTATCAAAATATAAAATACGGAAATTTTTTCAAGATCACAAGTGTAGTGTTTTACCATTAATTAGTAGATTGATAAATTGAAATAGTATTAATTTTTTTTTATTGTGACAGTCTTATATTTATTTTAATTTTTTTTTATTGTGACAGTCTTATATTTATTTTAATGTAAAATGAGTGAAATAAATTGTTGCCAGTCAATTCCTAAATTTAAGTACCAAATAAACCGATAGTCATTACTATATATTTTTTTATTTTATTTCATTATAATACCTGTCAAACGAACTTATTTTGAATATACCGGTACTATCATACGTATTCGGAAGTTATTAATTCATTTCTTATAAACTCTAAAGTATCAGTAAATTCACGATGCGTTTTTTTTAATCGCTGATTTTTTTTTTGTATATTAATTCTTCCATCCAATAATTTCCCCCCATTCCTAACCAATAATTTATCGAATCTATTGTCTTTAGAAAACCAATCAGACAGGTGATTAAAAAGACAAAAGCGTCAATCAGAAAACATTTTACAATTGAGTATGTTTTGATAGCAGAAAATTTCGATCCGCTGAAGCGTTTAAAAGGGGGGCTATGTGTTCACTGGGTATCAAAGTCACGATGCCTCCAGTCCAGTCGCGCCGATCCTTCACTGCAGGGTTCAAGCTTGAAGTAGTCCAGTATGCCGAGGAAAATGGTGGAAACATGGCTGCACAACGACAGTACGGGGTCAGCGAGAAAGTCATCAGAGGCTGGCGAAAGCAGAAAGATGCCCTCCGGCAGACGAAGAAGACCAAGAAAGCCTTCCGTGGCCGCACTGCACACTGGCCTGAACTCGAGAATCAGCTCGAGGATTTCGTCATGGAGCAGAGAGCCGCATGCAGAGCAGTCAGCACCGTCCAGTTAAGACTGAAGGCCGTAGACCTGGCACAAACCATGAATATCAACAACTTCAAGGGTACGACGGCCTGGTGCTACCGTTTCATGAAACGAAAATCTCTATGTATACGTCAGTGCACCACCCTAGCCCAGCAGCTTCCAGAAGACCACGTCCAGAAAATAGCATCGTTCCGGCAGTTCGTTATTGAGCAGATCCAGCGACACAACTTGAGCAGCAACAACATCATCAACATGGACGAAGTCCCCCTGACTTTCGATATCCCGATGAACCGGACCGTCGACAACCAGGGCACCAAGTCCATCACCATCCGGACCACTGGCCACGAGAAGTCTTCATTCACCGTCGTACTGAGCTGTACCGCTACCGGCACAAAACTCCCGCCGATGGTAATTTTCAAGAGAAAGACTGCTGTAAAAGAAAAGATGCCAACTGGTATAGTCGTCCATCAGAACGAGAAGGGGTGGATGGACAACGACGTGATGGAGCTGTGGCTAAATTCCTGTTTTGTCAAGCGACCCGGAGGGTTTTTCCGCCAGTCCAAGAGCCTGCTTGTCCTCGACTCAATGCGGGCTCACATCAGCGAGGTCACCAAAGAGAGGATAAAGGCGACAGGCACCATCCCCGCAGTTATTCCCGGCGGCCTTACGAAGATCCTGCAGCCCCTTGACATCTCCGTCAACAAATGCTTCAAAACAGAACTCCGTAAAATCTGGGAGGACTGGATGACAAACGGGGAGAAAAGTTTCACCAACACCGGGAAAATGAGGCGCGCATCATATTCTACCGTGTGTCAGTGGGTGAAAGACGCTTGGGCAGCTGTTCCAGAGAGAGTCATCATCAGTGGCTTTGTCAAAGCAGAAATTGTTCACGCCCCCCTTCCTGAAGATGAAGAAGAAGTCCCGTTAGCTGAAACAACTGATGACCTGCCGTTGGCCCTAGCCGCTCTGTTTCGTAGTGACAGTGAAGAATCAGACTTTGACGGGTTCGCTTCTGACGAAGAGAGGGATTCTTAGTGCCGATATTGAACTGTGCAAATTCACTGTCTTGTGTCACAAACTTTGTGCTTGCTTACCAGTGCGTTTTAATATGACTTTGACATTAGTGCATTTTGTTACTAGTGCTGAATATATTCTTTATGTTTATTTATTACCATTGCCATATTTTATGTCTTGTAATAAATGTATTTAAAATTTTATTTTCTTTTTATTGAACAAGATTGGAGGTTTTACAGGCAGCAAATGAGTTATAAATTTGGGTATTAAAAAATCGTTTTGAAAGATAGTTTGAACTTTTACAAGCAGTTATGGAAATACACATGCGGATGATAAAGAATTAATTTTATTGATATGGAGTTTTACAAGCAAAGAATTAGTAATAAATACAGGTTACAGAAATATGATTTAAGACAGAAATATAATTTTATCTGATATTATAAGGTTTATTAAAAGCTTCTTCGTACACAAGAAGTACACTGAATTACCGCTATACAAAGATTGGCTTCTAACGAATTTAATTGTCTGACAGATAAAAGGATTTACACTGTGTACACACAAAGGTTTTAACACCTGTGTTGGTTTAATACCCGCAGGGCATGATTAGCAAATCCACGTGCCGTTATAGGGTATTAGTGTTACACATCATTGAACAAACAAAGCCATGAAATTCATAATGACTGTCAAATTGTGGATGTACCGGTACTCTCAATTTAATTTATAAATTAAACTTACAGCGTGGTAATATTATTTCAATTCTTTACTGTTGCTTTATATATACATTTAATGGTCGTTTGCGGGTTTTAGCAAATCCCTGAAGAACAAAAATGAAAATGGCGGACATCGAAGCAATTGTCGTCCACCGGTAAATAACTAACTGAATGAACTATATTAGGAATGTGTCCAAGTTGTTCTGAAATCAGAATTATTATTCTTTGATCTCGGGTATTTCCCGAATTATAGCTTAAAAACAGAAACGTATTTACGTGTTATTTTTGCCTCAGGTTTAACAACTGTATGAAACTACGGAGGCATTGAACAGGCAAGTTGGAGAAAAATAAGTACCGGGGGTAGTAACACAATTCAAAGAAGTTTTAACTACATTTTTTTAAAAACTTTATCTAAATGCTGTACTCATTAAAATACCTGTTTGTTTTCATGATACATTCATGTCACGGAATCGCCCCGATAATTTTAGAGGTTTACTTGTTCTGATACGTTGTATCAGCGTAAGAATCTTTAGAAAACGGGAAATAAAGCCTCGTCCTATATAGTAAGTTCGTCCTATCTTAGGATTTTTCAAAAATTAAGGCTGAAAATGAGCCTTTCGACCTATATACCCCATCGACCTATAACCCGAAAATTACGGTAAATGGAGCAAAATCCTGCATTCTTACAAGGTACATGCATTTGTAGACCTTTACAAAGACCATTAAATTCACTTTTTAGGCAAAATTTTAAATGAACACACACAAAAAAAATTTAACCAGGTAACTTTTTTAATTTTTTCTCTAATATAACAAATCAGTTCTGTTTTTCATGTTTCACTACTAACATTGTTTTTGTTGTTACTCCATTCTTCCGATTCATAGTGATATAAGCTCCATCTTACTCATCTACACTTTTCTTTTTAACTCTTGCAATCGCACGCGTATCTTTCGACATCATGGACTTGGCACATGTTTACCGATCAATATCAAATAAAAGCTTGAATTCTTTCTTTTAAAAGCGTTTGAATGACTAGGATGGTAAATTAGCTGTGAAACTTCAATCGGACAAAAACGGAAAATTTCGAACGATGTTTTAAATATTCTCCTTTTCTATCTGAAAAAGGGGAATTTTTGCACCTTTTTCAAGAGGGGAAAGGTACCGTTTACCGGTAGTAAAAACAGCCTTGATAAATCCCTGCAATTCCTCTGCATCTTTGTAATGGTGCAAATATATTTTTAGTAAGGATGACTACAGGCAAAATAAATTGTTTTTGAATTAAACTTACTTCCAATAAGACAGATTTTTTATTAACTTTCAACAACATTGTCCTCTTTATGCGAAAACCTGATAAAATAAATCAACATGTTTACCAGTTGTTTTCCGCAACAGCCATGACAGTACTCATCTAATGTATTAAGACATGAGCTTGAAATTTATAATAACTTGAGAAAGCAAATGTTGGTGTGGAAAAATGATTATGTTGTAAAGTATTACTAAACATCAATAAATAAAACCATTCAAAGTGATATTTATTCTTCAACAGCAATATACTGTACACAGGGTAATTTTTGCCCCCGTTTTATTTTCGCCCGTTTCGCCCTAGTCGGGCGTGGGCGAATTTAAAACGGGGCAAATTCAGAGTAAACTGTATAATATCTTAAACAAAAATCTTTTTGGGGCGAATTTAAAACGGGGCAAACTTGTTTTCAGATGTGAAAGGGCGAAAATAACATGGGGCGAAAATAACCCTGTATACAGTATATGCTTAAAATAAGTGAATTCCTAATTAGATCTGCTCCCTAGATCCATTTTTTACTGATATTTTGAGCTGAAATATGTGTGATCCTTAGGAGATTTAGATATAGATCTTTCATTTGTATAGGGGTACCATGTTTACATCCAATTCCCATTGAATTTTGATCCCACCCCACTCTTTGAATCCCTTAAAATATACTAGACCAAGTAAGTTCAGTTTTCTCCTTTGGCTGGTCACTGTATTTTATTAAAATTGACCTATATGTGAAAGGAGAAAAATTTACTCAACTGCACTCACAGTCACACGCTGTTTTTAAAAAATATGTAAAATCTAGCTGGCCTTTCCCATTATGAACAGATCAACAAAACTTTTTCTGACCGAAGAAAAATTGTAGAATCATCATAGAAAAAGGGGCCTCTGTAGATAGCAGTTATATTACATCTTCCTTTAGCTTTTAAAAATACATTTTTTGCAGATGTAGACATTGAGGCCTTTATGAAATTTAAGAAGATATCCAACCTTACCTCTGATGTTATCCAGATTAGGAAGGCACTCTCACACTCTGACTTTTTTGAGGTACTGAAAAATTCTTTGTACATTTTCATTTTCTGCATCATCTGACTGTGGTGTGAATGAGTAGCAGGATTAATGATTTTTCACAATTACTGAAGTGTTTATGTTGACTTTTTATTTAAAAGCTTAATGAAGAGAAAACTAAAGTGAGAAGGAAAACACCAATTCAGGAATTAAAAGATTTAGATGAAAAAACTGTTTATGTAGTAAGTAGTAAACTCTGTTTTTTTTATCTGGTTATAGAAAATAAACTATTTAAAATTATATTTCAAAGAAAAGTTACAAAAAATTATTTACCATTAAATATTGTAATGTTAAATAATACCAAAAGAACATTATTTCTATGTTTAAGAAAGGAAAACTTTAAAACGGGGCAAAATTGTTTGCAAGAGTGAAAGGGCGAAAATAAGACGGGGCGAAAATAACCCTGTAAACAGTATATATTCATGTTGTATATCCTAGGAATGTTTACCCAAAACAGCTGATCATCAGTGGTTGAAGAAGCTATTCAAACCATGTGGAAACATTACTTACATCAGTATACCAAAATTTAGAAGCACAGGGGACAGGAAAGGATTTGCTTTTGTAGAGTTTGACACAGTAGAAGCTGCAAAGCGGGCATGTCAGGTACTTAAGTTTGGACTGCTTTGTTAGCAGGGAAGAAATGAAGTACATTTGTTGTTCTGTATACAGATTTTACATTCTTCTCAATTACTATGATACATTAATAGAAATGTGTAGAAAATTCTAAATTAAAAACAAAGAAAATTTGGATAAGATGGGTATAAAATTCTAAATTAAGAATAGAGAAAATATGCATTAAATGTAAATTAAGCTCAGAAAAAATGGTCATAAGGAAATTTTAATCTATATTTTTTGATTGACTTTTATTTTCATGTTTCTTGATTGAAGGATTTGAACAACCCCCCTGTAAGACCTGGAGAAAAAAATTCTCCTGGAATGTTTCCGAAGTTCAATCGACAACTGACCAGCATGCAAAAAAAACTGGAGGAATTTGGAGGTACTCATGTCTTTGTACATGTATATAATTTCTATTGAATTAGTGTTGCTTGATTGTTTTGAAACTGGGAACAGATATATGTGGGTTAATGTAAAGAAAGAAATTTCCCACAAAACAGTTTGCACTGAATATAAATTATGTTTTAGAAAACATCAAGTAACTTCTAGTTTATATTTTCTGAGTAGTTTTTTTTTGTCATTTCTCTTGGAATCAGTCAATAAATAATGCTATGATAAATTGATTAAAAAATATGAAATTTGCATTACAGAGAATGACTCTGAACAGAAACTGCCAGTCAGAGTCAAAATGAAAAGGGAGAAAAGACCAAGAAGCAAGAATAGTGAAAGTAGTACAGATTTGTCTGATGTGTCGCCAAAGAAGAGACGGAACACTCTCAGTACTGAGACCGTGGAGGGAGAAAGTATGGGATCCTCTAAAAGGAAGAGGAAGATGAGAGATTCTGAGGGTGAAACTAGTCAGAGGATGAAGGGGGAAGGTGGTGAAAGTGAGGACAAATCCAATAGTCAGAAAAAAGGCAAGAAAAGGAAGCAGAAAACTGTATCTGATACCAGTGCTAGTGAATCAGATGTGAGTAAGTCAGGGGAATTCAGTGGTTCAGAGACAGAGAAAAAGAGGAAGATTTCTCAGGATAATGTAGAACAGACAGGCTCTGATGGCAATGTTACAGGTAACAGCATGAAGGAGAAGGGTGATCAAAAACAGAAGAAGAAGACTTCAGGTGGAGAAATGCAGGAGGATACAGATGCACAACAGACAAAACAGGAAGTGGCTGACGTAAGCTTGATGGAGGAAACAGGAAGAGGAAGTCCAGCCAAGAAAAAGGAGAGGAGGAAGAGGAAGAAGAAACACAAAGAGAAATATCTGCCAGAGCTCAGAGTGATGCCAAAGTAAGACTTCTGCAGAATCAGTTTTGCATAAGAAATACCTAGTAAAATCATAAAATCAACATAAACTTCAGGGACACTTTTCTTATAGGAAGTATACTGAAAAAAAAAGAATTCACTTACTGCATGTAGACTGTAACTTTATCAGTAACTAAAAATGTTTGCAGTAATACTTTTACTTTTTTTCCTTGAATAGATTGGAATGGTTACAACTGAAGAAAGAGTATTTAAGTCTTCAGAAGATGAACATGAACAAGTTGAAAAAGACTCTGCAACACATGAAGAAAGAAGACTTACCTGAAGAAAGCACAGGTAAGTGAACAGAATTAACATTAAACGAATAGATTGTGTCTCAGCAAAATATCTTGCAAAGACCAGCAGGACCAAGGTTACTCAGTTAAACATTATTGCCCATGGGCCTTGTCATGAGTTTTTGTACAAAATAAAGGAACTATACTATATATCTCCAGATGCAGTAACGGAGGAGATGCCAGATAAGCCTACAGTGGAGATGCCAGGGACTGTGGTACATCTGACCAGTGGTTCACCGGTCTACAGGAAGCAGCTAAAGGTCAGTGGTACAAGTCTCTTATCTGTTAATTGTAAGCAGAATTCAAATGAATGCACACCCTGTTATGAACTGGAAAAAGGAACCCTGTTATCCAAAAATCCATCTCAAATCTAGGTTGAATTATCTGATGATATTGCTGTTCTATCATTGAAATATTAAAAATCTCTCAGAATATTTGTTTAAATCAAATTTTTACATTGCCCATTTGTTTGCGAGTGTACTTGTTAACTGATTCTTACTTTGCGAGTAATAGCTGATAACATATCACAGTATTCACTCTGTTGACTAATAATGACTGTGTAATTTGTTTATTTCTATCCTTCAGACTGACTTAGGTTCAGAGGTACAAGTGGCCTATGTAGACATAAGAGAAGGAGAAAAGGAGGGCTATGTTAGATTTAAGGATGCCGCTAGTGCTACAAAGACCGTGGAGCATTCCTGGCCCCAATATCAGTTTGTTTTACTCACAGGTAAATAGTTCAACTGTTGAAATTTTTTTCATTATGATGTATCTCGGAGCTTACAAGTCAAAATATTTGGATCATGTGGTGTGTTTAAGAATTGCAAAGCTGGAAACTTAATTCAATTATTTAAAAGAAAAATTATAAAAAGTTTTGGACTCTCTTTGTGTGTTTGACGTGTCGCCAAAGCTGCAGATCTTTAGCTTGCTGCCAGGTCTGAAAAAAAAAAAGGGTTATGGATGACCAATGAGCTAGTGAAAAATTTTGACATTTTATATATTCAGTATTTTTAAAAAATAAATTATTGTTAAAAAATGCATTATGCTTGCATTTCTCCTGATGCCCTGTTCACACGGATAGTTTAGTTCGAATCAAACGTAAGTTACTATAAATTAAGTTTGATCAGCTTTCACACGGAGAACTTAATGCAAATTTGTTTAATTTGAATTAATTTACTGCGCATTAAATTACTTTGCAATAGCTTTGTGTGAACGCTAAGCGAAGCTAATTTGATTTAAATTTTGATGCATGCACAGAACCAGAATTTAGTCACAGGCCATATGTTGGTGCTTAGATTTATGTACCTGTGCTATTTTTGGTTGAAAATTAGCGGAAAATTATGTTAATCACTAAAATATATACAGTCACAATGATATGGATATGCTCTGCACACATGATGTGTTTTACAAACGACGTCATAATAGCCTTCCTGAAAAGCCTTACTATAGAAATTCGCAATAGTTTACTTCGCTTTAGCTGTCGTGCGAACACAATTTAATTCGCATTAGTTTGATTTGCATTAGTTTACTTTGCATTAAGTTACTGCGAATTAAACTCTCCGTGTGAACAGGGCATTAGTCTCTATTATATTTTATAATGTGTCCTGTAAGATAGGTGCACTGTGAATTTAATTGGATTCATACAAAGTTTTAAGGTTATTGTATTTTTGGTTCTGAAGGAGATATTCATTATTCATGCTGTATTGTGTTAATTTTTGCTGACAGGAGCTGACGAGGAAGCTTACTGGGACAAACTGAAGTCAGATAAGATGAAGAAATATCAAAATAAACAGAAAAAGCAGGGGAAGAGTGGGCAAAAGAAGGTAGAGTGTTACCAGAGGGCAATACTTATGAAATTAAAAAAAATTAAAGTAATGCCAACTGTAAAATTTAAAGATTTTTTAAAATTAGATATTCTCTCAGTTTCCCCAACTAGGAGTAATATTTTGATTTTTTTTTTTTTTGGGGGGGGGGGGTGGATGTTAATAATATTTAAGTATTTCCAACTTTTAATTATTAATTTCAGCTAATTGACAGAGCACAGAAACGAAACAAGGAGAACCTGGACCGAGTTCACATCCGATTTGGAGAGGAAGACTGAGCATTGAATCTACAGTTCAAACTATACATTGTACATTCTGCATTTTTTTTGTTACTATTTAATAGTGCTGTCATTCATTTACTTGCAACATGTGAAATAAAATTCATTTGATTATATAGTTTTAATTTTTTTAATCCCCAACATTCTAGTGCAAATCACAAGTTGTAGAACTTTCAGTTGGTCAATCGCCTGAGGTATAAGCTATTTCATTAAACTTGCCAAGAAGGGTAACTCCAATGTTAATGTGAAATAATGATTTGGCAGCTTTAGAAGGATGAATGACCTAATTATTGAAGCGTTCATTATACGCCCACTCTGTGCTTGTTGAGATGGAGACGAGTAGGGAGGACTTCTTGTGCTCAATTTGTGGTGATAAATTTTCTTCCACGAGAATTTTACCTTGTTTTCACACATTCTGTGAAAAATGTATCGATGCTCTCGTATGTAAAAGTGGTGAAGAAGATAAGAATTTTCAATGTTCAGTTGAATGCCCTATTTGCGGCGATGAAGTTTTGGCGCCAAATTCAAACCTTTCAGCGAAAGATTGGATACGATCTTTGCCTCGCAACTTTTTACTGGAGTCGCTGTCGAATGCTGGCAGAGGCGGGAACAAATGTGACCCTTGTTTTAGAGCCACGGAAGATACAGTAGCGACGTATCATTGCGAGAACTGCAATGAGAATCTTTGTGAGATGTGCTACTCCTATGTCCACCGTCGTATAGAGGGATTTCAGGAACACGTTATTTTAGAGCACGCAGTCGAAGAGGACAACCAGAACACTACCAGTACATGTGTTCTGCATACAAATGAAATCCTGGAGAAATACTGTACCTCGCACAAGCTGCTCTGCTGCAAAATCTGTATGGTAACCGATCACAGAGCTTGTTCTGAAGTCAAGCCTATTGATAGCATTGCTAAGCAGGAGAATACACACGAAGTACCAAAGGAAGTCCAGTCTAACGTTGTATCTGTCATAGAAAAGACAGACTCGGCTCTGATCCCTGTAAACGAGGCAGTAGAAGGTCATGATATGAAATACGTCGATTATAGCAAAACGGTTTCATCAACTGTCGACAACATGAAGAAGAAGCTAGAAGAAATGCGTAATATTTTTAACGAAAAACTTAAAGAAACGCAGAGAAAGGAAGTAAATTACCTTGCTTCTGCCAAAAAACATTTAGAAGCATTTCTTAGAACAGTCGCAGAGGCTGAAAAATTGCTGAAAATCGTTGCAATACGGGGAACGCGTAGACAAATGTTTGTCACCGTTTTGAAAGTAAAGTCCCAAATTCAGAAACAAATTGAACGACTGGAAAAGCAATACGGAAAACAATTTGATTTTGACTGTCAATTGAACACCGAAGTTGAGGAAATGAGCGAAATCGAATACATAGCACAGTTGGACGAAAACGACGTCGAAACAGTTGGCATTGATGAAATTTCTGAAGCACTAAATTCATTTGAAGACATTTTTCAGTTTGATGACTCTGAACCAAAAACTCAGGTAAATCCGTCAAAATTGAAAGCAAGGGAAATAGCGAAATACGACGAAGAAGTGTCACGATACTGTTCTGACTGTGTTCCTTTAAAGGACGGTACCGTTTTGCTCTTGGAGATCGAAAAAATTCAAGCGTTGAGCGAAAAAAACCTGTACACTCTATATGAATTACCAGGTAATGATGACTTCAAGTTATCGAAAATCTGTTTGGATGAAGAGGAAAAACGAGTGTTTGTCCTCACAAGCGACGAGAAAATCATAACATTTACATTTCATGAGATGAAGTTACAGCGGGTTGGACACTTTCAAACTAACATCGAGATTGCAGGATTTCGCTTCTTTTCAAATAAGTTCTACTGCCGACTGTGTCGCAGTGATGAAGGCATTGCAGTTCTTAATGAAAGTGGAAAACTTTTGCGTTTTCTTCCAGGACCCATAAATGGTCAGGAGATTGCGCTCTCCAAAGACGGACGACGCATATACTTTGATAACCACCAGAGCATATTTTGGCAAGATGTGGCGGGTAGCCAGTCTGTCGGGAGGGCGGAATCGGATAATCATAGTTATTCCCAGAGCTTTTGTGGATTGGATATAGATCACTACGGTAATGTGTATGTCTGCGAGACTTTGCGTTACGAGGTTTTGCAAGTCCCTAGAGGCGAGGAGACAGCGTCCAGAGTCATTTTAGACCAAGATTCAGATTTACAGCCACTTTTTCTTAGGTTCGATCGTGAAGGGAAAAAGTTCTGCGTTTTGTACTCTGATTATTCGTGCGACGGATTAGTAAAAGTCTTCGATCTATACATCGATGATGAAAATGAAGAAAACAGCGATACTGAATAGAAGAGAGATACTTTTTGAAGAACTGCTGCTGGGGCAATATTATTGCATATTCGTAATGAATCACAAATGTTAATGGAGTCCTCAGATTTCCTTAGAGTTAGCACCTTAAATTTTTAAGATCTTTTTATCAAATGCCATAACAAATGTATTACAAAATCTTAAATAAAGACAAACCAGAGTCTGTGCGAATTATATCCTACCAAGGAGTCGTGTTCACCAGATAGTGACTAAGTCAAAGATGATCAAGTTTGATTCACACCTATTTTATAGTTTTGAACTTTAATGCAGTGATCGTTATTTGTATTCAAGTTACCTGCCAGTCCCAGAATCATGAAGCATCTTAAGCTTAAGCAAAAATCTTCATATTGTACTTTATTGTTGTGGAAGTCAAGTGGATCAAAATTAAAATAAGTTTCAATACTTATTCACAAATGTGCTGTTCTTTGCAAATTTTGAGATGAATACAGTAATTAATAAACATTTTACAGGTGATCGAAAATTTGACTTAAGTCTAAGTTTGTTTCTTGATCCTGTAATTTACATAGTCATGTAAGTCACTTTTTTATATATATAAGAGATATGGTCAAAGCATTGCATTGTGGGTGGGTTTTTTTCTGTTATGATAAGTTCCATTAAAAGGTACATACTCGTGTGTTATCTGTTTCAAGTACAACATTTTTTTGTATCTCTGTATTATTTTCAAGTTATGGACTAGACCAAACTTCTTTACTTCCTTTTTTATTTGACTATTACCATATCAAAATAACATAAGTCAGTGTCATGACCTTTGACACTGTGCCAGGTATCGTGTTGGATAAGATCCATTCCTGTCCTACATGGATACTCAGATAATTTTATCGATAACATCAAAACTATAAAAAGTGTCGAAATCGTTTGGATGAACGTAATATTAGCTGTTAAACTATCAAGTTCTACACTGCGTTTAACTTTTTTTTTAGTTGGACTCTATAGGGTGAGTTCACCATGCATCGGACACATACCTTGCTTCGGACAACTTTAGGCATTAAACTCTCTTTCATCCCAAGAGTTCTGTGTATTTATTTGTTTCTGTCATAAAGATGAAGATTGAAATTTTTTAATAATACCGATTGTGTTTATCATGTTGGGATAAAAATACCCCACAAATGGCCTTGAAGTTACGTCATATTTTACATCATCAAAGGGGAATAACCCGAAATTTATGATTTTGCAATTTTTAGAGTTATCGTTCTTTTAAATTCAACTTCCACGGAACGAGTCGGACTTTGGTGAATTTTGTCAGGGATTGGTAATTTTACATAAATTATAATTAAATTTCACTTCAATATTTGTTTAATTCTTATTAGAGCTGGTTTTTACTAGTATGCTATTTTCACCGTACATCGGACACAAATTAACCATGCATCGGACACTTTTCGATGCAAAGGTAAGCACTACCATTTTCATACAGAACCCAGCTGACAGCTGTTTTTTGCAAAAAGAAAATAAAAACTCTATATTTTCAGTCAAAATACAAGTTATCGATATATGACGTCTGGAATTTTACTCAATTTATTTCTACAAACCAGAGCATGATAAACCATGACAAAAAAGGCGCGACATTATAAGCATTTTAAAGCATTTCTAAGGCAGAGTGAGGTCTCGAGAATCGTTCTACATTTGTGCAATAATATCGTCGATTAAATTAAAGTTGAGGGTTATTTCTGAGATAAAAGATGAAAATATATCCATATCAAGGATTTTAAAGCACTGTGATAAAGGTTTGATATTTTTCCGGTCTCCATACCGTCTGTCCGATGCATGGTGAACAATGTCCGATCCATGGTGAATTTTCAGTTTTTTCTAAAAACTCGATTTTTGGCGATATTTTCTCAGTAAACAGCATATAATTGTGTCCTAAATTGTTATTTTAATCACAAACTAAATGCTAAACTCCATTTTATAATTTTCCGTCGGTAGCGATATCGCTAGAACTTGTTGAAGTACAAGGGTATCCGATGCATGGTGAATTCACCCTATATCAGTATGATTTGTATGTTGTTAGTTGGACTCTATATATCAGTATGATTTGTATGTTGAATTACAATTTTTACACTTAGTTTATTCTTTATGCAATGTTAATATTTTTATAAAAGTAGCATGTTCAGAAATTAGTTGATACAGATGGACAGATTGGTATTCAGTTAAGACGAGACTATGATCAGTAAAGGTCAAGGTCCGGAGAGGGGGGTTGACCTTACGTATTTTGTAAAGTGTATACAGACGAAATTCTAAGCAATTACTGTAAGATCTCAAAAACAATTACACATGTTTATTGAGTGTGTGCACGATTTGTTCTGACACATGGATTAGCAGAAATAAGTTGTATGTACATAATTAATTATGGTATACACATATAGGTAATCTGTTATAATAATCTGTTTTTACGCGTTTACTTTCTTTATTCTTTTAGCCAAAGGCTAATCAGATTTTATACAGCATATAAACATGATAAAGAGTACAGAATAGATATTATATACAGAAGTACACAGAGGATATAAATATCAAAAGTAATTACAAATTAGACTTTCGTAGAGCAGTAGCTTTATATAAAAAAAAAAACCCAAATTAGATAACTCTTTTACATTTTGACTACTCATTAAACTTATAACTTTAAATACACTTGGTTTGACATAATAATACTTCTTAATGTACATACTTCTCAAATTTTTATAAAATGGACATTTAAAATATGAAATATGAATATGATCATTCCCTTACATCTATCATCAATAGGTTTTGTAAATATCTTTGTAATACAAAGTTATTTACAACGTAATGGTACAATCGTCCTTTCGAAGAAGAAGTCACAAATGAAAAAATATTTTGTCTATAAATATCAGCCATCCTTTGCTCAATTATTTTATATGTACAATTATCAACAATGTTAGAGTTTATAAATAATGTTCTTTATCAAAACTCTAATAGGCCCTATTACATGCAATAATACATTTTCAATCAAAAGATGTTAGTATAGCTATGTACACTGTCGATCTGTATCGGTATTTAGATTAATAAAATTTAATAAATGACTACTTGTATCTTTGTACACTACATAACTTTCTGTTACATATATCCTCAATACTGTAGATTGGAATGCTAGTTTAATTAGCCTTCACCGGTCTATGACCCGGTAGCTGGCAGGTCAAACATTATTGAAGCCTTTGGCGGTGTATTATTTCATTTTATTATCGTCTCTAGTGGTATTTGTAAAACAGTTCAATTTTATTCTAGTAAAGTGATATACTCAGTCACACACACTAATATGACTTCAATGACATGAACAATACCTCTTTCAAGCATCAACCTATGCAAACAAAAGTCATCGATATGGTGTGAAACTCATACAACATAACTGAGCCCAAGTGACTAAAGTATACATTTACAGAATGTATATCATTATACAACTTACAAGTAATACAGTGCTATTGTAACAACTTACTCCCTTTTGGTGCCATATTCCCTGTCAGCTTCATTTATTAACACAAACTCCATGCCATTTCAGAAATGATAAAATTTTAGCCACAATAAAGCAGACACTCTATATATTTTAATATACAAATATTAAAGTATTTAATCCAAAAGGTCACATGTAAATGTATGCAAAAATATAAATATTAAATCTGAAAATGTAAAAAAAAAACTACATGAAAATAGGTATCTGTATGCATGTGCATGGAGACCATACCTTCTTGTAGAGTCCAATATATATCTATTTGCAATAAAAAAGAAATTAATATCATCATCAATGCAATACCATACAACACATTTAATATATCTATGTTCCAAATAAAAACCAAGGGAGTTATAGCTTTTTATGTTGACAGATCAACTCACCAATGTTCAGTGTGAATTACCTTTTTTTAAAAAGTCATTTTATATATCTCATAAAATCAAGGGAGTTATAGCTATTTAAAGTTTCACCAATTCATTACATGCACGTGTTTTCATGATAATTTCTATATATCATGTTGTAGGATATCAATGCATGGCTATGTTCAAAATTTCAAAGGATCTCCTCAAAAAACAAGATATTGAGACTTTAGTTTCAGCCAATCAGAGCAAAGCGCACGTGCATGCGCGTAAGATCTTGCTATTTTGATCATATCATATTGTCTATATTACTAATATATCCTTACATTATGAGTTTCAAAGCATTTCATCAAAAATTTAAAAAGTTACGCCTATATCAATTAAATCGGTCAACATGTTGCACAAGCACGTGCGCGCAATTTTGTTTGGCAAATCTACATAACATGTATACAAAAACATTTTACCTTAGTCGGATGTGTAGTTTACAAGATCACTCAAGGACAAAATTTTCCCAGGAATAATAATAATAATAATAAGAAACAGAGTAAAAACAATATGTTCCCCAACTTCGTTTGGGGAACATAATTATGCCATTTCAGTGATAAATCCACAATAAAGCAGACCTCAAACAAAGTGGTCACATGTAAATGTATGCAAAAATATAAATATTATTGAAAATGTTTTTGTTTGATTAATTCTTGTGTCTTAAAAAAAAATACATGAAAATAGGTATCTCCTGTAAAAAAAATTTGCAATAAAAAAGAAATTAATATCATCATCAAATAATATGCAACACATGTTATTAATTAATATGTTGACATCAACTGACCAATTTCAGGTGAATTACCATGTCATACTACAATTCATTACATTCTCAAGACAAATGTAGTACATGTACAGTAATGCATCCACAGCAATTTCAAATACCAGTATATGAAAGAAACACAACTCAATTGTAGTATACAAAAATTACTTTAACATTGGGGGAGGTTTTTGTTTGATTAATTCTTGTGTCTTAGTGTTCAAAGCATCCCAAGGTAACCACATAGAATTCTGACCCCAGAGAAATGCACTAGGAACTCCTTGGAATTACCCGTGTCCTAGCACTCGCTTAACCTTGTAAAGTGTTCCAGTGTCCGACATTGAACTAACTTCAACTGAAAGAGGATCTCGATGGTCAGAGTCTCTATAGCGAAGAGGCTTCTTACACATGCGGCGAGGTCGCACTTGTTCGGGTAACACAGGTACCTTACGTTCACGCTTCCCTGAACCATCTTTATGTGTAGAGTTCATGTCCAGGATTCCTCCCTGAGAATTCTGGGTCAAAGGGTCATCACCTGGGGTATGTACCATGGGATTCTGGAGATCTGGTGTTTGGTTGGAATCCGGTTTGGTATGAGTGTCTGTCTGTGTCTGTTGATCAGTACAAGCAGGCGAGACTGTCGTGCGAGTTATAACCGGGCCAAGTAGATAGGGTTGTGGTGATGGTGCACGAACGTAAGCCATCTTTAATCTGTTCACATGAATGGGTTCACTAAAAACTTTCCCAGTGTTCTGATCTACTAGTAATACACGAGAGTCCGAGAAAACTTGATGCACTATATGAGGTCCAGAGAACTTGGCTTGAAGCTTCTGTGCAGGGCCTACTGCAGGAATAGACAGGTAAACATAATCCCCTTTCACGAGGTGTAAAGGATGCGAGTTTTGGTTTGCTCTGGTAACCATAGTATCCTTATTAGCCTCAATGTTGTTCCGTACTTCTGTGCGGATTGTATGTAGTTTGTCAAGAAAAGCATCCA